TCATAATATCTTAAGAAATTCCCTATTAGATGGTTTGTCGTTTTTTTTTTTTTTAAACTGTTTCTTTTCTGATTTTTATTTTACTAAACTGAAAAAACATTATATTACTGATCCATTTTTCTAAATCCAAGACTAGTTAAAGCGACATCCCGATCAATGGAAAACATTCAGTTTCAGATTTAAAAGAACAGAAACAAATCAGTCAATGGAGAGTGAAAAAAATGAAGAGAGATCTTGTTAAGTTTTTATATAGTTTGAATTTTTTAGTACTCTTTCAAAGTTGTGATAACGTTTCAAAATGCAAGATGGCTACCAAAACGGTGGTACATTAATTTTGAAATCTAACATAAGACCATAATGGAAAACGTGCAAAAGTTTTACTTTTAACTACCACTGCTAAGACTGAGGCTATAGCCTACATGGATGATGAAAAAATGGTTTTCCTTATAATTCATAATTCTGAAGCATATCTCATAACAATGATGGCCGTAAGAGTTAGAGTGTTATTTTATATTCCACTGTAATCAATTTTGTCATATTAAAGTTTTTGTTATCGTCTGTTCAAGTCATTAAGTCAAATGGCTATCCTGCAATAAGAGATTAGCATAGCATGTTCTCTAGGCGTAGTAAATACATATGATTTATATGTTTTGTTTTTGTAAAAAAGAGTTGGAGAATATTTGGAGAGTATTTAGGTCAGTTGGAGAATATTTGGAGATTATTTAGGTTAGTTGGAGAATATTTGGAGAATATTAAGGTCAGTTGGAGAAATTTTTGAGATGATGGGTATATAAGGGCCCTCTGTTTCAGTGTTGAGGATAACTGAAGGCAAGAAAGGAACGATACAATATGAGACGTTAAAAAGATTTTTGTAATTCTAGGCAAATCTTGGAAAAACCTTGATATATTCGGAGAAAGTTGTGTTTTATTACTATTCATTTGTATTGTGTTTTAATATTTTTGTCCGCACAGTATTGGACATTGTTGCTTGGGTTTTGTCCGCACAGTATTGGACACTGTTGCGTGGTTTTTGTTTGCACAGTATTGGACACTGTTGCGTGGTTTTTTGTCCGCACAGTATTGGACACTGTTGTGTGGTTTTTGTCCGCACAGTATTGGACAATGTTGCGTGGTTTTTGGTTGCACAGTATTGGACACTGTTGCACATATTTGTTATATTACGGAATGTAATGAAACCGTTGTATTGTGTTGTGTTAAATACAATTCATTTTTGGAAGATATGTGCCGATAGTCTGTATAGTTTCTCCAACATTTTTATATGTGATTTGAATTGTAAACTGTATATTATGTAAATATTTGTCCAGATTAGAATTATAATAAACAATAGATTAGTCGATTTACTTGTATATATGTAGGACTCTGAACCGCGATGGTACTCCGAACCACGATGGTCAAGCTGAAGTGCGATGGTTGGACGCTGAAGTGCGTTTTTGTTCACGCCGAAGTTCGATGGTGGCATTGTGACGCAATCTTGTTGATAGCTACGCTGAAGTGCGTTGGTAGTGATGCTGAAGTTCGATGGACTTCATAAACTATAGTTTCAATGCTTTTCATGTCGAAGTCCATTTGTTTGTTAGAAGCAGTTTTTCGGGTTTTTAAGTTAATATGGGACTTATAAACTTTTAATACTATGGGAAACTGGGAGTAATTGGTGGAGAAGGAAAAGTTAAACTTCTGTAGCGGATTTCTTTTCGAAATCTACAAAAGTTTTTTTTTACGTACGATGGAGCGTGGCATTGTCTTAATACACACGGGTCTACAGACAGACTCTTCGTGTTATTATATTACGGTAAACGAGATACTCATGAGGGAACAAAGTAAAGATAAAATGTTTGCGCAGCATTAGGTCCACATGCATAAAATCAAAGAGGACGATCTCTCATTTAGTATGCAACTGTAACTAAGGACATACATTGACAATAAATAATGCAAATTAATCTACTAACTATTAAAAAAATCTACTTCTCATAATAATTGCACATCTGCAGATTTTAATTAGCCAGCACGCGTCATATAGACCATCGCACATCAGCGAACGGACCATCGCACTTCGGTGCAGATCATCGCACTTCAGCGTGACCATCGCTCCTCCGAGTCCTACATATATTCTTATTTAACAAGACTACGTACGCATCACTGGTTAATCTGTCGTCAATTTGTCCGTAAATTCAATGTATCCTGACCTGAAAGGTTTCGATATAATCGACCGCCATGGCAATAACAGAATTTAGTTCATCGTTTGACCTAATTGGAAATACATGTAAACGGTCTAATATTATATGCATAAATGATGCCACGATAGTAAAATTTGCCATTTTGTACCAACCTGAAATTTAAGATCGCAGCCACCACAGATCTTAGTTTGAGAATTGAACACATTGTTAGATACATATACATCGCGTTTATGATACGATTTAAAGATGATTATCTCATCAAAGATTAGTATACCTAAACTGTTAAATTACATTTTGGTCACACATGTTAACTATATGTAATATCGATAGAGTTTCTATAGTTTGTAAATGATTGCCTGCTGTTTCCGATAATATGCATCGTTGATTGACAAAATATGATGTTCTCGATAATATCGATCGTTTTTATTTTCTGTAACTGATAGACAAATTTTCTCGATAATATCAATCGATCTATATTATCTGTAATTCATTGACGAATGTTCTCGATAAAATCGATCGATTCTTTAATGTCTTTAATTGACTGACATATGTTCTCGATAAAATCGATCGATTCTTTCATGTCTTTAATTGACTGACATATGTTCTCGATAAAATCGATCGATTCTTTCATGTCTTTAATTGACTGACATATGTTCTCGCTTATATGGATCGTTTGTTGACAAAATATGATGTTGTCGATAATATCGATCAAGTTTCTATTGTCTGTTTTTTATTTACAGATGTTCTCGGTAAATATTGATTGACAGAATAATATGTTTTCGATAATTTCGATCGAGTCCCTATTGCAGCGTGTAATTGATTGGCATATATTCTATCGAGTCACGTAAATTAAATATGAGGTCGATTAAATTGAATTTCTTAATAGTTATCTTTGTCTTGTTGGAAATTGTTGGTGATGGCAAATTATAGTCTCTGTGATCTTTTCTAGACTGGAGGAAGGGGGGGCGATTTAGAGCTAGGCATATTTGTAAGACACTTGTATATTGTTGTTGACCTTTATATGTTTTGTGTTCTTTTTTATACTGTTGGGTTTTTGCCTCACGCAAAATCTCCTTTTACCGAAAGACTTACATCAACAGAAGATAAAGAAACTCGTTTATTTTTACCATGGGATCAAATGGTAAAAGTACAAACATTCATACTGATCTGTCATTAATATTTAACTTTTAATGGTATTTTAAACGCAGGATAAATAGAATGTGTCACAAATCATAATAATATAAAATCAGATGTACTTTAAATTTACCACGTGAACAACCATAGACTCTAAAGAGCTGTGAGTTTTAATTTCCAACATAACGAACAACATTTTGCCGGATTACACGTAAGCTAGCACATGATGATCCCGCATCAATATAATAACACAAATTTAATGGGAAAATCCTATCTTATCTGATTGTAGAGTTAAACATTATTTGCCATATATCTTAATGTTATCTACATTCCCTAAAGAATCTCAGACATTATTCAAAATATAAAACATGAGACAAACCGATTATGTAATTCTAGAATATATTAAGACCCCACCTTTAAAGTAGGACAGATCCGATAAAGGTTGCCATGATTACAAATCACTGTGAGCTATGGTACTAATATAATGTTTCATGGTTTTATATTATCGCTAGCGCATCGAAATTCATAAAGTGTTAATTTCATTTACTAGCACTAGGTCCCGAGGGTATCATCAGCTCAGTAGTGAGTGATTTGGTACTGACATGATTTATAACACATCTTTCTAAGTTCTTTGTTGATAAAATAAGAAATTAATAATAAAAAACTCAAAGCTCCAATTCCTTCAGGAAAAGTTTACCATAGCTGAATGTGGCTACTCTTTTAAGTTCCCTTTTCGTCAAATATCTCCTAACGTTTCTACGGGTTTTTTTTAATTCCTGGCTTTCAATACTTTAGATTTGAACGTTTCTGATGAAGGTAAAACAAGAAAAGCGCTTCGGACAAAATTTATTAAGTGTCATAAAAACATTGTCTTACATGTCAATTTGGTCTCTGGTGGAGAGTTGTCTCATTGGCAATCATATCACATCTCTTAGACTGTTGGAGAGTTGTCTCATCGGCAATCATACCACATCTTCTTATCTTTATGATACTAATGAGTCAGTTCATCTGTTAGTGAACTGTCAGTCCAAAGTGTACGAGGTACTTAGTAATCAGTGCTCTGGTACGATACTGGTAAGATTTTTAAATGCTATAATTTGTTCGAAAATTATTAGCTTTATGAATTTAAATTAAATCTAAAACTGAAACTCCATGAGGCAAAGGTGACCTCTGATGGTTTGGGCTATTCTGTTTAAGTCTTTATAGTTTTTATGCTCTCCCAACATTTATTTGTCTTTTAAAACTTTTGTATTCGAGCGTACCTGATGAAGGCTCTTCCAGAATCGCGTGTCATGAACATTGTACACTTAAAATATTTTTTTTCCCTAAAATGTCTATCAAGGTCAAGGTCTAAGACTGTTTATTTTGTATGTCCCTTTTAAAATTTCTCGGTGGCCGAGTGGTCTTAGTAGTTCAACTACGGTTATCACTAGCCAGTCAATAATGAGGTTGTGAGTTCGAACCCCTCTCGTGCGGGTGCACTTGACTCCAATCTTAATTGACTAGGATTGTCAGTTTTCCTATCGAAGGGTGGTGGTTTTCTCCGGGGATTCCGGCTTCTTCCACCAATAAAAACTTACCGCCATGAAATAGCACAATAGTGTTGAAAGTGGCGTTAAACACCAATCAATCAATCAATTTAAAATTCTAAAAAAATTGACCATAACTTACCGATTGATGACGTGGCCTTGTAGTATTTGCCAACCCATAGCAAAAATAATACATTACAGCTGCAATTAAAATACAGATTCCTATACCACAAGCTGCAGGGCCAATTACTTTGTATAGCCTGAAATTATTAAATTGTCGTTAGCCAATCTAGGACGATGCATTACTCTAGAAGTGATACAGGGTTGTCAACAAAATAAGATAAAAAAACCAGCTTATTCATAAGGCAAACAATGGAAATGTTCGTCACTTAAACGAATACGTCTGAAAAATCTAGAACTAGATATATTTAATTATCGACTAGTCTATAGAAAAGCTTTGATCCAGTGAGGAATTATTTCCTTATCAATTACAAACGAAATTACTTTTTCTTAAGAATAAAGTGCCATATGATCCCATATGACTACATTTTTTGAAAACTTCATATCAAGGACAGTTGCATAAATCAGGATTATTGTTCAGCACGCATCTCATTGCTAAATGTTCTATTAGGTCTTGTAATTGGTCGGTTTGAAAGCAGTTATAAAATTTATAAGCTTAATACGGAAAATCTAGATATGGTAAAATTGTTGTGAGATGTATAAGTACCCTACTACGTCCACTCTGTATTTTTCTTAGATGTATTTCTATTTGTATCCATCTGATGAGTTAAGCCTTTTTCAACTGATTTTTCAGTATAGTTTGTTCTTATGTTGTACTATTACCCTACTGTCCCAGGTTAAGGGGAGGGTTGGCGCCTTCAAACTAGTTTAACCCCGCCACATTCTGTATGTGCCTGTCCCAAGTCAGGAGCCTGTAATTCAGTGGTTGTTGTTTGTTGCTGTGTAACATATGTGTTTTTCGTTCATTATTTTGTACATAAATTAGGTCGTTAGTTTTCTCGTTTGAATTGTTTTACATTTTTCATTTCGGGGCCTTTTATAGCTGACTATGCGGATTGTTGAAGGCCGTACGGTGACCTATAGTTGTTAATTTCTGTGTCATTTGGTCTCTTGTGGAGAGTTGTTTCATTGGCAATTATACCACATCTTCTTATTCTTATATGAATTAATATAGAAATAAGGAGATTCGGTATAATTACCAATGAGACAACTGCTTTATTGTATTTTTGATTTTCTAGCAACTCGTAGGTGCATTTGATTTTACTCGGGCTTAAGCCCATGAATAAAAAGTACAGTGAAAATAGATAATATATCTCATTTAAATTAAATGCACAGTTATACCCCAATAGGGATGAATAAATAATATAAATATATATATTGCTTGAGGGAATGTCTTTTCAACTCATACTTACACACCATGTGCTGGAGACAAATTGTCAATATCCTCATCATTACTTATGCCTAATATTGTCATTGCAACACCGGGGGCAAAAATTAATGTTCCAACAAAAATCATCACAATGAATCTCCTTCCTGAGAACTGTGGAGACATTAACCGGATGCGCTTCGCCCCTTGTTTCCGGTTCCGGGCAACACTGGCAATAACTGCCGGTCTCATTTTCAGGCTATAGCGGTATCATTTATTTAAATTCTTTAAAAAATGTCCCATTCTGAAATATATATTCACAAAAAATCATCAGTAAAAGAATTAAAAAAAAAAACACCTTCAAAAAAAGGAAAAGATTTGATGAACTACACCTAAGAGCAAATAAAGCAGTGTATTCGTACGGAATTACAAAAATATGTAATGACGAATTTAATCAGTAGTCACGAATTACAAAAACAACTGTGATAACAAATTACACACATTCGTGAAAACGATTTTAATCCGTAATAACGAATTTAATCCGTGATAACGATTTTAATCGGTGATAACGAATTTAATCCGTGATAACGAATTTAATTAGTGATATCGAATTCAAATTATATTTTTGAAAGGTCCTAAATGGGCTTCCGTATATTCGCTCAGATATGAAGACCAAATATTTTGGGGGTTATTGAAAATAAGGTAAAACAAAGTTTGAAATCTTATGTTTAGAACTGCGCTCATTAATTTGGAGCAAAGATAAGATCAAGATTACTCGAAATAGAACCCATGTCTTGATTTTGATGTTTGTGTTTTACAATGGAAACTCCGTGCTAAAATTTATGCCTAAAGAGTGCAACTTTCTTTGCTTTAAGATTATAGTTTGAAATTACAACGCAGAGTGTACATATATTATTTTGTCAATGGATGGTTTAGATTGATTGTAAGACGAAATAGTATTAAATATTAAAAAGTCAGAATTGATATCATATGAAGTGATTGATTGGTTGTTGTTTGCTTAACGCCCAGTGGTAAAGATTCCATGCATGTTTAGGACGAATTATATGAATTGAAGCAAAAGATAGTTGACAATGCTGTCACAGGAAAACTTTTTGATTTTCCACTTGGTATCTCCTCCATTTTTTTATACACTATGAAGATTCGTTTATTGTCAAAATGAGCATCTGATGCACTAACAATAGTACCGTTAATGTTATTATTCTTATTATCATATACCCGATTGTATAGTTAAAAATCCCTCAGAGAGAAACATATAATTATTTCCATCCTCTATGGTGTACCGGACTATAGATAACTATTTTTCCATGAAAAATCCTAGCACGACGTATCGTATATGAACGGGAAAAATCGAGAAAACAATTGTATAACATAATTGACATTTATTGATGTAATTACGGTTAATTATGTAGCACGAGATAATGGAATCATTGCACTTAAGCCTGGAGAACAATCTCTTATTTTAAATTGATGATGTGGTGAGGATCTCACCATGTTGGAAGTGTAAATAGGATTTATAGGAAAGCATAAATAGCGACAACTTTGTTACTTAGTACACAATTATAATCTACCTGACGAGGCATGGAGCGCTAATAAGAATACAATTAGAAACAATTAAAAAATGGGTTTAGAAGTGCAGTTACCAATGTTCAATTAGCAGAATATTGACACTTATATGTTCTCAATATGGTGATTGTATACCTAGAGATATATTCTTAACACCAGTTTAGTCTGTCACTGATCCATTGTGTCCAGTTCTTCTGAAATTAATACTTGTTTTGTCATGTTGCTAGTCTTGGTATTTCATACAGGATAGAACTATTCTATTCTATGGTACAATATTCGACATGAACGATGTCATACAATAATATTGAACAGGTATTATAATATGTATGTCTTTTAAAATATAATATGATATTGCCTTCATGGAATAAGTTGTATCTGTCTACAGAAGAGTACAATCTTACACATGATAACAACCCTATCAAGTTTTGAAAAAAAAATACATATGATACCGAGTTAATTGTTTAAAAGTACTTCTAAACCAACAAAACTTCAATTTGCAAGATGATCTTGGCTATTCTCTCTAGGTCCTTTTTAATCACATAGCTCCTAAGACGGCATGCATATCTACGATTCATGGCTATCAAATGTGTAGGTATGCACGTTCCTAATGAAGACAAATCAAGAAAAGCGCTTCGAACGCAAGAAATTTATAAAGTGATTGTTTCATCATCTGTATATAGTAATCTTGAGACCAATAGCTTTGGAAGACAAATATATAAATCATGAAGATTCGTCAAAATCGACAAGGGTCTCAACAGGGAATTATCTATAGGGTCAACATACCTTGAACAAAGTGCAATTACATGATTATGTTAGTAACCTCTTTATAAACAATGAAAAATATGCATTGGAAGAATATTAAACAATGACGGTCTTTAAATGGGATAAATGTGTGGTTTTATTAACAAACTGCATACAGCCTCAATAGCATCCTTTCAAAATTATTGTGAAATGTATTAAACGTTATTTTTTACGTGAATTTGTATATTTATCATATGGAATGTTATTAGAAAGATAAAAAAAACCTTTGATGGAATCAAACAGAGCATGTAAATACAATTGTTATGGAATCCAGAGTAATAATGTAATTGTACAAGTTTTGACATTATAGTAAATACTTCTCTTTGTGATATAGAAGTGTAGTTTAACTCCATGTGTTACTAGAAGACATCGTCATTTCTACTTAAATAGAAAAATAAATTGGATCAAATGTGCCATATATACTCAGCCACTCTCAACAATGTTATTGACCAGGCTAAATATGTATCTTTAAGCTGAAGTGGTATAGATTTATTTGATGGATTGCACCGATTTCTTATAGATATATATATATATATATATATATATATATACAAGTCTAAATTGAAAACAACGTTCAAACCTATGATTGCGTTGGATAAAAACCGCAATTTTTATACGTGTGCATGCAAAACAAATTTCTCGTTAGAGGGGTCTAAATACAGCACAAACAACATTTTCCAAAAGACCAAAAAAGTGAAAAAGTATATTTTAACAAAACGCATTTGACTAACAGGTCGAACAACAAATGCTCTTAAACCCTGCTGACTGCCATTGGCGATTGCCAAATAAACGGATCACCGATGTAATAAATGGATCTTAATTATAAAATTAATACTAAACAGAAAACAATAAACTCGCGGAAAAAATGGTATACCGCAAACAAAAGGTGCAAAGGTTTTTGTACACCATATCCGGATTTCGACAATTAATGTCTCTTCAGTGATGTTAGGAATCGAAACGGTATTTGGAAAGCCATACAATTTACCTCAATTTAGGATAGACTCTCGAATTTGAGGAGTCAAAATAGGATGAACGGATCATATAAACCCGAAGGCAAATATAATACAAGCCCAAACGAAAAAATATAAACAAGTCTAAATTGAAAACTAAGTTCAAACCTATGATTGCGTTGGATAAAAACCGCAATTTTTATACGTGTGCATGCAAAACAAATTTCTCGTTAGAGGGGTCTAAATACAGCACAAACAACATTTTCCAAAAGACCAAAAAAGTGAAAAAGTATATTTTAACAAAACGCATTTGACTAACAGGTCGAACAACAAATGCTCTTAAACCCTGCTGACTGCCATTGGCGATTGCCAAATAAACGGATCACCGATGTAATAAATGGATCTTAATTATAAAATTAATACTAAACAGAAAACAATAAACTCGCGGAAAAGATGGTATACCGCAAACAAAAGGTGCAAAGGTTTTTGTACACCATATCCGGATTTCGACAATTAATGTCTCTTCAGTGATGTTAGGAATCGAAACGGTATTTGGAAAGCCATACAATTTACCTCAATTTAGGATAGACTCTCGAATTTTGAGGAGTCAAAATAGGATGAACGGATCATATAAACCCGATGGCAAATATAATACAAGCCCAAACGAAAAAATATAAACAAGTCTAAATTGAAAACAACGTTCAAACCTATGATTGCGTTGGATAAAAACCGCAATTTTTATACGTGTGCATGCAGAACAAATTTCTCGTTAGAGGGGTCTAAATACAGCACAAACAACATTTTCCAAAAGACCAAAAAAGTGAAAAAGTATATTTTAACAAAACGCATTTGACTAACAGGTCGAACAACAAATGCTCTTATATATATATATAAAATGCTCTTTTATATATATATAAAAGGGTTAATAATAAATAAACTCATCATAGATACCAGGATTGAAAAATTGTATTTGCGCCAGACGCGCGTTTCGTCTACAAAAGACTCATCAGTGACACTCGAATAAAAAAAAGTTAAAAAAAAGCCAAATAAAGAAAGAAGTTGAAGAGCATTGAGGACCAAAAATAATAGATATGTATTTGTGTGTTTATGTTTTCCTAACGTATATTGTAAAGATTTTGGTAGCAATCCTTGAACCAATAAAATATTCTATGTCTTATTCCAATTTCTTAAAAAGTATATCCACAAATTATGTTGATCGAAGAGACACTGGGCACTAGCGTTTGTAATTAGTAAATCGCAGGAAGTTTCGGTTGCCAGGTATTTCGGCGGCTGATACCTAAATGGTTGATATTCACATGATATTTTCAAACAATTTTTACAGTTTTTGCAATTTAATGTTAAATAAATATAAGATAAGATAAGATAATAAAAGATAAGATAAGATATTTTATTTTCCAAACTAGGTTCCCAGGGAAGCATACACACATAACAAATATAATCGTTACAACATACAGTATTTTACATGACATTCATATAATACACCTAAAATATTGATATAAAGTTATACAGGCTATTATATGTTAAATTAAAAAAGTATTTAAGAGTTGCTACTCCAGAGATGTGGCAAACGTTTTTCTCACTTGATTTTATTTGCTGTTGTTTTTATTTTATAACATTTTTGCTGGAAATGTATAAATATAATTGATTGTTTAGCTGCAACAGGTACCAAGGGACGGTGCTCTAGTTATACATGGCAATAGACAAAAATACTCATACAATCAACCTCAATACTTGTATCAACAGGAAGCTTTAAAAGTATGTATTACATGCATGCAGCGCTTTCTGACCTGCAGAGCAGATAACCTTTTATATAACAAGAGAAACAGTAATGCCTCGAGAGTAATGCATTGCTACAGGTGTTTTTTTTTAACGCTGATATTTTAATGAACCCTTATTTATGAATTGTTTGTTATATTTATCCTTTTCAATATTTCTACTTACGTTGACT